CCCGCTGACGCTTCACTTCTTTTCGCACGTTTGCTAATGCATAAAAATATAGACGGAAGACCACGAAGGAAAGAGGAGGGGGAGGAGGGGGAGGAGAGGAGGCCCCCGGAAGAGGACAATGAGCGATCAGGGCTGAGGATGCACACCGGGGGACGGCGCGCGCGCGTGCGGAATTCCGTTTGAGTTTTTTGGCAGTGTCGTGCGGATGGAGAGAAGAACGGGAGGCCCGACAGATTCTCGTCAGGACACACGACTACCGCATACTGCGAAGGCGTGGCGTGGCGTGGCGTGGCGTGGCGTGGCGTGGCGTGGCGTGGCGTGGCGGGGTGGGGTGTGGCGGGGCGGGGCGGGGTGTGACGGGCCTGCCGTACGTAACGCGCCACCGGTTAATCAGCAGTAGTACCCGCTCCCCTCGGCGAAACTGGTCATTTTTTAAAGGAGAGAGAGGGAGGGGGGGGGGGGTGACATTTCCTGTCAAACCAACGACCAGACTGTGCGAGTCACGTGACTTCTGGGAAAGACGCACGCGATACCTCTCTTCCATAGTAGCAGCTTTATACACGGACCCATAGCACAATAAACCGGCTCAGTAACACGAAGAACGGAAAATTAGCATTTTAAAGCCATGTCGGCGGCAGTTTGCCTGAAAATGTAGTCGTAATTTACGAGTTACCGTCCCGGCGGTCGGCGCGGAGTATTAGGGAAGAGGAGCACGGCTCCTCGCGGCCGCGAATGAACCAGCCATTCGCGAGGAGCGTCGTCGCCCAAAAGTGTTTGAGTTGCACTTGTTCCGTGGCGAGCCCCACGCGACGCGCGCGGGTCAGCGTTGTTGTTGCTGTTGGAGCGAGCAATCGGGCGAGCAGGAACAGAGCAGCAGGCGGGCACTTCTGGCGCCACCGCAGTAGTGTACCCCCACCGTGGCACCGTGACATTCGCGCCGCTCTACACACGCGGCGTGCGTCCCGCGCCGCGGCGGTCAGGCGGGGCCGGGCCTGATCGCCTTCATTACCTCCTTCTAAATACATATCCCCGCGCGCGGCCCGCGGAAGGCTAAAAGCCCGCAGCCCAGCTGCAGCGGCTCTTCCGCGGAGGCTCCGAGCCGGCGCGGGTTCACACGAAGTCGGAACCGACCGGAATCACAACTTGATTGTCACCATTATTATGTATTGTCCCCCGCGGTCCTGTCCGGGCCGGGTCGGGCCTCTGATAACCACGAGCTCGCCCCCGCGCGGCATCTCCTGACCCCCCGGCGGGACCGCGCCCCAGTCACACCCTGCCCCAGCCCAGCCCCGGGCTGTAAACACTTGCAATCGAAAAAAACTCACACCGACCCAATTCCCATCGGGAGGCTCGTGTGGGTGGTCAGCAGCGACGCACCAAGAAGACCACAAAGCGCTTTCAAATGTTGCACCGTCGCGGTGGCGGTGGTAGGTCGCGGAGGGGTCCCCGCGGGGTCAGAGGTCAGGAGGTCCTCGGACAGAAGGGACCCCCTCACCAACGCGGCGCGCTCGCATACTTGCTGCTGCTGCTCTCGTCACGTCAAGGAGTTTGGTATTTTATTACTAATAAAGATAATCGCTTCGAGAGGCATCGGTGACAGTCGCCCGGGGGCGGCGTCTAGACGGCCGCGAGCTGCTGTCGGCCGACGGCCGACTGCCCTCCTGCTCCTCGCGCTGCCGCGTTGTAGTACCTCCAACGACACAAGAGCGGCGCGCGGTGGAAGTTATAATGGACTGGACGCGGACAACTGTCCGTCGGACAGCCATAGCGCGACAGCTCGGCACCTGACTCGACAAGCACTTTACTGTTTCTGCATCACTTTCATTACGGGCAGCTGAACAAGCAGCAGCAGGGCAGAGCAGGGCAGCGCAGGCCAGCGGCCGGCCGGGCCGCGGAAGCACTTTAGGCCCGTCCACCGCACGCCCCGCCGCCGGCCAGCGCGACAGGTGTCTCGCTGAAGCGCCGGGAAAGTCAACAAGAGCAGCAGCAATTCGCTCACACCGACCAGCAACTCGTTTTTGTCGTTTTTCGCCGGGCCAGTGCCGGCGAGCACCTGTCGCTAATTGGCGCAAGTTTGACGGGATTGTCGGCGGCGGCGTCTCACGGTGACGGTGACCCCGCGGATGCCGGGTCCCCGCGGCGGCGTCCCCCGCGAGCCATAGAGGGGCCGCGCTGCCGTCGACTCGGAAATGAAATCGAAAACCCATGCACTGCGCCTGTTCTGGTCGCGCTCTGCTGCTTATCAATGCAGCCGTCAGTCTCGATAGTCTCGAAGGCCCCCCAACGGTGCATGGCCTGGGACACACACACACACTGGCCGCCCCACACGCAAGCTCGCTCACACATACTAAAGCAGTCTCTAGAGAGGTCCCGCGCGTCCACGAGGAAGGAAGCCGGGCGGCGGCACACCGGCGCCGGCTTCTTCGTAATAATGACGTTATTTAAAACGGGGCGGCGCGTCGTTAAGCAATGCTCACCGTTCTGAAAGGTGTGGATGCCGATGCACTCGGGCTGGTCGTGCGCCTTCCCCATGGCTCCTGCGGGCCTGCACGGCGAGGCGCCTGCTCGCCCTCGCGCGCTCCGGGTCCGCTGCTGGTCGTCGACGGCCACCTCGCTCTCTCGCTCCACTCACTCGCGACCGGGGACGGGCGGGCGGCTGCTGCTGAGACTCGCGTGGACAGGCCGCGGGGCCGAGTGCGAGAGTGCGGCGGGCGGACGTCCAAAGGCGGCGGACTCCCGCGTGGCCCGAGGGGCCAGACAGGCCGGCTGGGGGTGGTGGGGGCTTGCCGTTCCGCTCTGCGCTTAGCTGAGCTGCGCTCGGGAGGCAGCACGCAGGCAGCCGTAGAGTAGACCAAGAAAAACTTTTTGTTAAAATGTTTAAGTTCACATTGCCCATCTCGTGCCAATCCATAAAAAACGCTCTCAAAAAAAAATTCAGCCAGATCGGAAAATATTTGACCCTCCCGAAGTGGGTTCAAAGTTAACATTAGTTTCTTATGGGTCATCGGGCCAAAACGTTACACATTTGGCCTGTGGCTCAAACTATCAAT